CCTGTTGGCCTCGGCCACCTGCCCTCTGCACCCAGGCAGGGCCTGGGGCTGATCGGGCCACCCCAGTCACCTCGCCTCGCTCCACCCTCAGAAGCAGGAGGGCCAGAAGGCTCGTCTTCTTTTCTTTCTTGCCCTCTGCACTCGGGCAGGGCCTGGGGCTGATCGAGGCACCCCAGTCACCTCGCCTCGCGCCGCCCTCAGAAGCAGGACGGCCAGAAGGCTCGTGTTCTTTTCTTTCTTTCTTTTTTTTTTTTTTTTTATGCCTACAGCACCTGGTCTTCCTAGGCGGTCTCCCATCCAAGTACTAACCGGGCCCGACCCTGCTTAGCTTCCGAGATCAGACGGGACCGGGCACGTTCGGGGTGGCGTGGCCGCAGACAGAGGGCTCGTGTTCTTGTCACCTCCATTTCACAGATGATAAAACAGAGGCCTCTTGGCTCAATTCCTGAACCACTCCCTTCCATTCTCGACACTATCCTCACGGTGATTTAACTGCTCCCCCCGCGAACCTCAAAATAAACCTGGTGTAGCCTGCTTTAAATTTCCTCGGCGGCTCCCAGCTGCTCAGAGCGAGGCTGGGAAATCTTTTCTACAAAGGGCAGATAGACACAAAGCCGGGCCACTAAGTGGGCACTTATGTAACGAGTTAGAAATTTTCACAAAGTTTTATCGGTAAAATTCAAACTACGGTAACGAGTACGGTTTTCTATAATCTAGTTCTCAGGAGAAGAACGGATTACTTTTTTAGAGGGAGAAGGGGTAATATCTCAGTTGGGGTTCAAAGTCAGTGATCCCCATCATCAACTCAACTTATGCCACCTGTGAAATGATTGCCACAGATTTTATGCTCATCTATAAAAACCATTTTTAACTTGCGGGCCATACGAAAACAGGCAGTGGGCTGGATTTGGCCCGCGGGCCATCACCTGCGACCCTTATCGAAAGAATCGCGTGTCAGCCCCGTGACCTGCACACACACCCCAGGGCCCCTCCCTGCGCCTCGTCCGGACAGCCGTCCCCAGGGCTCCTTGCTCCTGGGACAGGCTTCACTCTCTCGCCGCCCCCCAGCCTTCCCTTCCACCCATTTCCAATCTGGGGGTTCCTCTCCCTCAGTCCTTCTCAGGACCACTTGCTAAACGCCTTCCCTAAACCCCTTCCATCCCATAGAGCCCCGTACGGGCCTGTGGCACAGATCTTAGCACATATGATATCGTAGTTGGGGGTTTATGGCCTGTCATTCTCTCCCTGGCCTGGGACACTTGGCCGTAAGGGACGGGGCTGCTGCATTCCTATCGTACCTGCTGCACATGCTCCCAAAACAGGGACGAGCTCTCCTGACCTCGGTCCAGTCTCCTGGCTATGGGATTGCGTTTCCTGTGCCACCTCTGCCCCGGGCCACCCAGCTGCCTTGGAGGCACCACGTTCTTACAGCCTCCCGTGCCCCTGGCCTTCTCTGACTGATCCAAGGTAGGCAGCAGATTCAAGCCAGGCCGACTGTCATTCCCCGAGAACGTTCAGGCTATGACTGAGAAGTGACATGGGGCTAGTAAGTGGCCCCTCGAGGGTTCTGGAGGGCTGGCGGCCACGGTCTCCATCTTGAGTGGAGAGACCATGCCACGGTGTGCCGAGAAGCAGGCGGAGAGGACCCTGGTGGCATTAGGGCCTGGCCTTGGCACTCCCTCCTGAGGCTCAGCTGCTCGCCGGCCCTGCTCAATCCTCTGCCTGCCAGCGTTTCCACGGAATCCACAGGACCCACGCCATTTAGACCTGAGCCGACCTGCGCGGTGTTCCATCAGGGGCAACCCGAAGGCTCCG